CTGTGTGCTCTGGTCAGATATATCCTTCTCCCGAAGCTGCAGATTCAGTGCCATCGTTTGAGATACATTCTTCTCAGGGGAGGGGCAGGCATCCACTTAGTATAAAATGATCTTTTATTGGAAAAAAATACTGCCATAAAGTATAGATGTGAGAAACATTCCTCTCCACTTCAGATTTTATGAGTATAGGCAGCCCATGGAGGGACCCTGTGAATCCCAAGAACAGAGAAAAAGTGGCCCATGTGGATGTAACTAGCCTGAAACGCCTTACATCCATTATCTGATTTCATCAGGTACAGAGCACCGAGGGATAAGAGCCCCACATAAGGAAGCTGAGTTTTCCTTTCTGTATAAAATATCACTGCACCTCTTCCCGGTACAATTTGAAGACAACTCGGAGACATCACAGGGAGAAAGAAAAGGGAAGTGGTTTCCGCCACATTCTGTGAGGTCTGATCTTGTCTGTCCTTTCCTTTCTAGGTACTTGGAAGTGCTGGTAAAACATACACATGTTTGGCCTCTTGTCATTACTGCTCATGTCCTGCATTTGCCTTCTCGGTGCTGCGGAAGAATGACAGCCTGCTGGTGAGGACAGGAAAGGCTCTTCCCACCGCCGCTGAATTAGAGAAGCTGTGGTTTGAGGGTTGATACAAAAATGGGAATTTAAGTGCATGCCAAAACAAAGTAGTTTATTGCCCTTGGCTTTAGCTGGTCATCTCTTCTGGATTGCCTTCCTAAAATGCAAGGTCATTTTGTGAATTCTTAATTTCCTGCCTTTTTAATTTAGATAGTCATAGATGAATCTTTGGGAAGGACAACAGGGAAATCCAGGAAGCTGGCATTAGGGAATGAAGTGACCCGGTCAGAGGGAGGAGCTGAGTTGCTGTCATTCCAGACTACCAGTATAACTGCCTGACCCTTTGGTAGGGGCAGGAGAGCACGGTGATGCCTCCGCCAATTGCCTACGAGTGCAAATGGAGAGGGCACCTGGGAACAGCAGCTCTCTGTTAAGTCCTGTCAAAGGTACAGTCTCTGCCCCATTCTCCCCTTCCTTCAAGGAATGTCTGAAAAGTAGAAAACATTTGGGGAAGCGGGTGAGGAACTGGGTGTTCTGTCGTACCAGAGGCCACACTCACAGCTGATGTGCCATGTCTATTTCACCTGACAGGACTGACCCCAGATTTATTCAGAATCTAAGCGCCATCCTCAGTAGTCTCTATTAAATAGTCTCCCGGGAGGTGTGAACAGGCCCGCTTAGATGAGAGCTTTGCTGCCACTCCGGAAGAAGTACTATGGTTAAGAGTGAACTCTGGATTCTGAGCACATAGTTCAAATGGAGATAATTGTCCACATAGGGTAGCTGTCGAGTTAGAAAATCTATGAAAAGTATTTAGCACAGTGCCTCAAACATTGTTTGTCATTAACAGCTTTCTGAGGCAAGGAAAACAAAAGCCCAATTTTAGATAAAAATTGAGTCTGGCTTGGTTTCACCTTTGCCAGCTGGATCTGAACGATGTTCGAGAACAGCAAAGTAAGTCCTCCGCCCTCTCTGCCTCTTAGCGAGATTGCATTGAGCTCATCTTTCTTATCTGCAGTTTTCAGGCAGTGAGTTGAATACCCATAATGTGTCCCCATTTGCTCCCACTAGATCTAATGGTAGTAAGAGGTCTCTGGCCAGCCCTGGCTAATAGATTGTCTGTAATAGGTTTGTCTGTTTTGTATTCCAGTGTAAGCATCTCTTGGCAATTTATCTTAGTCAAATAATGGGGACCTGCCAGCAGTTAAGCGTCTCTGACAACCAGTTGACTGAAATATTATTGACGGAGGAGGAACAAGAGCATAAAGGTATACATTGAGCATCATTATATTTCAGAACAGAATTCCCATGAAGAAGCATATTTTAAATTGTCATGGTTCACCTGGGAGAGAAATGAAACAGATCTTTTAGAAGCTTCTTGTTGCTGCGATTTCTGAAATTTTTTCCTCCTGCGTTCAGGAGCTGTGTTTTAAAATCCATTGTGTATGGCTAAAAGGCCTATGCAAGACTCCTCACGAAAGTTCCAACCAGTCTCTGAGCCTCTTGGATAAAGGGATTTCCCTGGATGGAAGCGAGCATTTTATACTCAAATAAAGCCTAATAGCATGTCGTGTCCACAGCAGGTTAGATTCTTAAATGATTGGATTACTCATGGACTTTTTTTTTAAGGTTGGACTGGTTGACCAGATTCAATAAGGTGAAACTTGGAAAAAGTGTTAGTTCTTTTCCTTGAGACTATAAAATTATTCTGTAGCAATCAAAGGTCAGCATACAGAGATAAAACTAAATAGCGGTAAGGGTATAAAAAGACGAGTTATCATTTCAGTAATCTTCACGTATCTGTGGGGATGGTATCAGAAAGTTTAAGTTGTGACCTCAAGTGTTACAACCCACAGTGACCCTGTGTACAACAAAACCAGACATTGCCCAGTTCTGCCCTGTCCTCAGTCATTCCTGTGTGTGAGCCCATTGTGAGTGTCCGTCCATCTCACTGAGCATCTTCCTCCTGCTGCTCGCTGACCTCCACCAAGCATGAGCTCCATCTCCATCTCCTGAGGATGTGTGCCAAACATGTGAGACAGAGTTGCACCATCCTCACTGCTAAGGAGCTGAATTTCTTCGAACACAGATTTGTCCGTACTCTTGACAGTCCGTGGTATATTCCATAGTCTTTGCCAACATAATTCCAAGCTTAAGTAGGCTATGCTCTATCAGAGAAGTGGTATCTAGAAGAGAAGTGCTAATGCTGCTCTGTACGCATTTCTGAGCCTTATAACAAGCCAAATAAAGGAAGAGACTCGAGATCAGATGCTGAAGCTAAAGTTACTACTATGTATTTTTGGTCTAATGTAAATGCAAATGTGGTTGTTTCCGGGAGAGAAATGGGACTCGGTGGGACCCCGAGAGAGAGTATGGGAGTAATGGGAGACAGACTTCAGGACAGGACGATTGCTGGTAAGTGCATTCAGTCAGCTCCAACTCACAGCCATCCTGTGTTCAACAGAATGTCACACTGCTAGTCCCGTGCCATCCTCACAACTGCTACGTTTGAGCCCATTGCTGGAACCGCTGGGTCAGGCCATCTTGTTAAGGCTGGTTCCCCTTGTTAATGACCGTCTAGCTTTATCAAGCATGATGTCCTGTTCCAGGGATTGGTCTCACTTGACGATATGTCCAGAGTATGTGAGACCGAGTCTCATTTCTAAGGAGCATTTTGGCTGTGCTTCCTCCAAGATAGATTGCTGTTCTTCAGGCAGGCCCGCCGCAGCACTTTCAGTATTTGCCATGACATGAGTCAAAGGAATCTATTCTTCTCTAGTCGTCCCTATTCAGTGCTCAGCTTTCAAATGCCTACGAAGCCATGGACCATACCACGGCTGGGGGGCGGGGGGCACACCTGAGTCTTCAAAGTGACATCTTTGCTCTAACACTTCAAAGAGGCCTTGGAAAGACGAGCCCGGTGCAACCCATCATTTGATTTCTTGATCTGTTTCCATGAGCGCTGGCTGCAGAGCCAAGTAAAATGAAATCCCTGACAACTTCAATCTGTGTTTGCATTTCTCACGACACCCAGTTGTGAAGACGTTTGTCTTCTCTCCATTTACGTGTAATCCGTGCTGGAAGGCTTTGGTCTTCATCGGCAAGTGCTTCAAGTCCTCCACTTTCAGCAAGCAAGATTGTGTCCTCTGCATATCAGAGATTGTTAATAAGCCTTCCTCTAAACCCGAATCTTCTTCAGATAGTCCAGCTTCTCTAATTATTTGCTCAGCATACAGATTGATAAAATATGGTGACAGGATACAAACCCAGCGGCTCACCTCTCTTGATTTTAAGCCATGCAGTATTCCTTTGTCTGTTTGCACTAGTGCCTCTTGGTCCACGTACAGGTTCTTCACGAGCACGAGGTAGTGCGCTGGAATTCCTATTCTTCTCAAGGCTGTCCATCGTTTGTTAGGGTTCACTCACTTGAATGTCCTTGCGTAGTCAATAACATACAAGTAAACATCTTTCTGATCTTTTCTGCTTTCAGCCAAGATCCATCTGACAGGATCCGGAAGACAAAAATTCCAGGTCTCCAGAGAGGCGCAGTAAACTTCCTGGGATATTGCAAAGGATTGAAGGAATGAACAAAAAGATGATGTAGCAATGATAATAGATCAAAATGTAACTTGATGTGATTTCCATTTTGACACACCCAGAAGTTCTAGCAGTTTAAAAAAAAAAAAGAAGAGGAAATACATGTGGATGAAGCCTCTTGGGAATTCCCTCTGAACATTGAGCGGGATGTGAATAGCCTTGCTGTCAACAGAACCCACTGGAAAGTGGGTTATTGACAGATGTAACGAGGTTAAAATCTGGTACCTTACCATATGATATCCCTGTTGACCCATCTTAAGGTAGCTCTAGTTTTTAATATTTTCTTTTCAACTGAGGTTTTTCTGTTTTATTTTTTTATTGTTGGTAGTCTTTTGATACTGTTTTGTATTTTCTAGGTTTTTTTGGTACATGAAACCCAGGTTGGATGGACCTATAGTGACAGTAATTGGATTAAGGGTTCCTTAGCGGTATGGAGGGCAGGTTGGGGGAAAGTGGGGAGCTAACAACAAGGAGAATAGGAGGAAGAAAATGTTCTAAAATTGACTGGGGTAGTGATGTACAACACTTACTGATATGACTAAACTACTGTATGATGTTTGGGTTGTATCCCAATAAAATTGTTTATTAAAAAATAGATGATCTGTGGGGGTGAGAACTCACTCCTGAAATAGTAGACACTTGTTATTTTTGTGATATAAAAGAACACTACATGAGGGTAAAGTATACAAAGCTCAAAATAACTAAGACGTACAAAAAGATAAAAAAGGACCTGTGGGTAACTGTCATGGCATATAATGTTAAACAACAGCAAAAACCACCAAGAAGGATGTGTGTTATGAAGCTTTATATATGTATAGGTATAGATGAAGGTAGGTTTAAAAGTATTGCATAAATGTTATAGTTCATATGTGCACATTCCAAACCAAGCTGACATGTGTCTCCTTGATCAGTAGATGGTTACAGACAAGTCCTCTCACACATGGCTTGGTCTCATTACAGAGCCTTCAAAACACAAGATCCACTCCACACAGTAGCTTCCAAGTGAATCTGCTGGGCCAATTAAATTCAAGGCAGATAAGTCAGCTCCAAAAGTTAGGGCAATTATTTGAGGGGACCCCAAAGGGCTCATCTTGATAGGATGATCACAGGGGCTTATTACAAAGAAGCTTTATAAAAACAACGGCATTGGTACGAAAAAGTCCAGAAAGGTTTGCCAAGGAACTCCCCCCAGCACCCGTTACAACACCCC